ATTTCCTTTTGGACTGGTCAGTGGATTCCCTCTATAATAAAAATCAAATCCTAAAAATTGCCCTTTGAGATTTTCTTACATGTAATCAATTATTGATGTAACTCAGGTGTAGGAACAATCCAAAAAGCTGCAGCCAATAGATAGTTCTAGCTGTTTCTTGGAGAAAGATTTTTATAGGAAAGTAGTCAAGAAAGAGGCTATTGCTGATTTTCATACATACAGCTCGGTATGAGTTACTTATTTTATCCACATATCATGTCTCGGTATTTTCTCATGTTCTAAACAACTAGCAACATCTTGTTACCTGGAGTTATGGATCACATAAATAGTCATATAGGAAAGCCAAATAATAACAGCACTAACAACTAAGTGAAGCTTAAACTAAATCACATGAAGCCAGAAAAGAAAAAAGGAATTACCTTTGTTGAAGGTGTGCAGGATGCAGTAGCTTCAGTAAGTCTTTTGTACGAATACACATAAGCACCATATATCAGGGATGCGATCATGACAAGCAAACCAGCAACTAGACAGTCAATGCACTTTTTAAGCAGCTCAGCATGTCTTGTATCTTCTAATTGACTCTTCAACTTTTCAGCTTTGAAGGATGCTTTTGACACGTCCATCGAAATTTTTGACCTCTGCAGTTGATTTGAATCATAGTTGAGAGCTAGCTGTGTCTCTTTCAATTTTAGTCTCTGCATTGTAAGATTAAGCTCCAATGTTTTGAGGTCATTAGCACGGGCTTGCTCTATGACAGACTTCCCAATAGTTCTAAGCATGGACTGGTTAGCTCCAGATTCAGATGTTCTTGGAGGAATACAAGTCAACTGGTTTGTTTGCCCATGCAGGGCAAGCTCCAGGTTAATAGAACTTGTTAACATACTCCGATTTAATTCATCTCTATAATTTAATTGACCCTGGGTTGCATCAGTGTGGGACATTGCTTTTGAGTGACAATCTTCTATATCAGAGCTGCTTGCACCATCTTGTTCATCATGAGTCACATGTAAAGAAGACCCTTCCATGTTTTGGTGGCTCGAGAGACATCCCCTGTTATTTGTAGATGATTCCTTGATCGATTTTAGAGTCCTCAAGGTACTCCCAAATGATTTTTCAAAGTTCCGGATAAAACAATCAAATGTGTTCCCGAAAACCTGTAGCCCAATACGCAGTCAAGACAGATAAATACGACTTTAGCATCTAGGACTTGTGGAGTGTTGATATGAACAACAAGAAGGAACTTCAAACCACTTTCAATGGATGAGTCAGCAGTTAAGTCTGACTTACATTGGCTAAAGATTCTCTGACAGCTGAAGCACATATCTGCACTCCAGTAAATAGATGTATAATTAGTTGATGCCCTATTATCCGAATATGAAGAAAATAAAATTATGAAGCAAGTGAGGAGAAAGTATAGAATTGTTCAACCCCACCATTGCAGGCAGGCTTCATTTTTACTGTGACAACTATTTCATCAAACCAAGTACGAAACAGCCTGATATCACAAGCTGACAGGTTACTGGAAGGGCGACTTTGGTCATATGAATTTGAGTTGTCATAAGTAATAAACGTGAGTCAATTACATGTCCAATGAACTAATTAGTGCATTTTGACAATGAAAGAAAGTACATACAGAGAACTGATGGTGTAAGGTGAAGCTTATTGTTGATGTAGGTAGTGTAGCATGAAAAGAAGAGTACCTTAGCAAGATGAT